CCACGTTTTCGACTTTAACCCGCAAGGCGTCATCTTCCACTTTACAGTATTCCTCAACTTTCTTCATCAACAACCAGACTGTTTTGGGGGGCCGTCTGGTCAAAGAGCTGCGGAAGGCACTGTCGGGTTGTAACCCCATCTTGAAGGCGGTAATGGCCATGGAGTCATTGCAAGCATCATCTACCAGATTAAAACACTCCCAATACTGCGCCGAATACGCACGAAGGGTTTTCCTCGATTGAATCTGCTTTGCCCAGAGGGAATCGACTTGCTTTGGCTGGACCTCATTAGTGATAAACCTTACCCTGAAGGATTTTTGGAGTTGATCGAAGCCGGCTCCAGTTTATAATACCACCTGACAGCCAGCGGCCCCAAACTGCTCGGAAATATTCTACACATGAGAGCCTCGTCGTCCACTTGCAGCGTCATGGCTTGCTTGTAATAGCAGATGTGATCGGTGGGGTCTGATTTACCGTCGTACAAGGTGAATGACGGTGCTTTGAATTTCTTGGGTAGCACTGCCCTTGCAATCCGTCGTACAAAGGGATCGTGCTGGTCTTCTTCGTCTGAACTATTTCTTCTTCGCTTATGCCTTATACGTGGACTCTCTTTAGAGGAACTGGTAGTTTCGGGTCGTCCCTTCTTCTTGGGCTCCGGGGATAATGAGTCGGAGTCGCTATCAGTGTCTTATTGTCGGGCTCGAGGTCGTCGACCACCTGCCCTCAGAGGTGGTTCCGGATCTTGGCGTACAGCTTGTTTGGACTTCACCACTTCCAAGGCCAAATCCTGATGGAGACGTTCGTTCTCAGTGATCATGTTCTCCAACCTCTGTTCATTTTGCTTTGTTTATTCCATGATCGCTTGCATTGTCTCATGCGCTGAAATCGAGGGTGAGGCGAAGTTCAAGGCACGTCTTGCGGCGATAGTCTCCGGTCCAAGCATGTTTATTGGTGTGATGTTGTCTCTCTGTGTGGTTTCATCAATGTCTATCGGAGGGTCTTCCATTACGCCTGCCATGGATATTTTTGAGTATTCCCACAAGCGGCGCCAATTGTGGAGGGGTGATTTGGAAATACTCTTCTGATCTTGGGGGACGCTCGTGATCCTCAACTAGTCACCTAAAAAGGAATAAACACTCCAGTCGGGGGTGCCGGAATTAGCACTTCGATGGGCAAGTCAGTCTCTACTCTCTGGATTACTTGTATTTTAAGTTAAGCGTAATGAATCTCGCATACCTCTTTCTGGCTGATGTTCTTCTATTTATATCTTTTCTTTCTTGGGCCTCAGGATTGGGCCCACTTTCAATTCGCCATTCGGCTTCTCTTGTAGCAAACTGCTTTTCACTCGACCCCTCGCTCCACCGGCTATTTGGCCGAATAGGGTAGGATTTGAACGTTCGAGATGGGGCCGAGTGCTATATATATTTTGACTCTCCAAGTTCAACTATTCGGCCTCTTTACGACTCCCAATATTCAGCCCCCACAATGTGTTATCACATTATCCTCTGGATTAGGTATTTTCTACCTCTCCTTCCACGCCTTCTTCCAAGCGCTCATTTTCTCCTTGTCTCCTACGTCTAGCCATTTCAATTAGTCCCACCAGGCGTGCCAAAAATATATGTTGGCTTTTTTGGCTTTCGAAGGTTATTTTTGTAATTGTGAGCATGCCAGCAAGGATCAATCAGTCCTTACAGAAATTTAATTGCCAACCAATTATCAGACGATTATGTTTTAGCTCTTTCATCCTCAATGAAGAGGACTTTTACTGGTGGCTTTACTTAGGAGGAATAAACTGACAATGATTAAATGAAGAACAATTGCAGTATTTCATTAAGTAAAACGAAAGACTTACAATGATCCAATTCAGCCTCGTAGAGGTTTATAGCAACAATTTACTTGAAACTACTCCTATGAACGAAGTGTAGTGCAAAAATTTTAAAGTACAGAAATACAAAGAACAGGAAATATAAAACTGGAAAGGAAATAAAGTAGATAAAATCGATTTTTTTGATCTGAGTCTGGGCCTTTTTCTGGGGCTTTCTCTGCTAGTTATATTTCTCAAGGATGACCATCAAACTGCACTTCTAACCGTCGAATCGCTCCTCCATGATCGCTGATCATGTTGTCTTATAGTTAGCTCCACTATGTCATTGCTTGCAGTAAGGCTTCCCTCATGATTTTGAATTTGAATGTGAGTAATTGTTGAAACCACATCACTTCGCACCTCTTTGCTGATCCAGTGTGATGCAAATTTGGTAAGAAGCAATACTAACTGCCACGTGGACGATCACGATCGAAGGTTTGAATTGTCTTCCCGTATTACCCTCAACCTACTACGTGTTGAACTGTGATTGGCTTTATACAAAATATGTAGCCAACAATTGTATAATGTGAATATATTTTGAATTGACAACACATTAAAAATAATGTGAACATTATCTCTCATCTGATATAAACGTTCACAACATCTTTCCGAAAAGTTCTCTCTTATCTAATGTAGTAATGTGAACGTTCACAACATGTGAACCTTCTTATTTTTAATTGACAACACATTAAAAATAACGTTCATTATATTTTTAATTGACAACATATTTTTATTCACAACATGTAGTGATGTGAACGTTCACAACATGTGAACATTCTCTCTCATCTAATATAGTAATGTGAACGTTCACGTTCGTATGTTTTAGTATAAATATTCACATCATGTAATTGACAGCACAATGACAAAAATTCATTTTAAGTTAAGGCTTGTGGTTGTGTAATTTGATGCAATGCTGATGTAAACCTTAACATCACTTTTATCACAACATCATCTGATGTGAATATTCACATTTACGTCATCTAATGTAAACATTCACATTCACGTCATCAATAAAGAACCATGTTTAATTTTTTTTGTGTAATATATATCAACATTAAATAGCAATGTGTAGTTAATGCATCTTTTTGGAGTGAAAATATAATAACAATCAACATTAAAAATATCAACATTAATGGAGACATAAGAAATTTAGGGTGTTTTGGTCTTCTTACCTCAGATAGGACCTAATAGAATAGTAAAAAAGAATATGAGTTTGATGGAATAAAACTCTTAGAAAGGGAATTTATCAAAAAAACTCTCTTGAAAAAAACTGGTGGAAAAGGATTTTTTTATGTACCAGATGACATGAAACAATTAAAAAAATGATTACATCAAATTTTGGTACGAGAATTTGGGAAAGAAATTATTAATCATTTACACATGAAACTAGTATTCTAACGTCTTGCTGATCAAACACTTATATGTGTTTAGTTCATATGTTTGGAAAGAGATTTGAAAAATAAAAAGATAGGTGAAATATATGTAATATAATTATATTTCATATAATTTTTTCTTTTTTCTTTTCAAATTCATGAACCAAACACAGTTTTCGAGCACTTCCATCAAACTAGCTATTAAATTAGTCATTTTAGTTTTTGTGGTTTTCGCTCAACAAATATAGCTAGTGATTTTACTTAGTAAAATATTGAACTTTTCATATTTTGAAATTAATTGTGTTGAGTTTATAAAAAAAAAAAAAATCCAAATTAAAATCAATAAAATAATATAGAAAAAGAATAGAGAGTTCGTTGAATAATGTATTTAAAAATGTGTATAGCTAAAATTGAAAAATAAAATAAAATAAAATAAAAAAATAACTTTTAAGTCAAAATATAATAAAATTCTAACTAGTTTGATGAAAATGTTCTTACTAGCCCACCTTAAGAAAAGGATTTCATTCATTCAGACTCCAAATGGTAAAGTAATCTTATAAGTCCTAACGGGCATGTTTGATTGGACAGGTTAGAGTATGGGATTGAAATTATTAATCCGTAGGCCTAATTATTCTATATTTGTTTTAACATTTTGGTTTAGAATAATTAATCCATGGATAATTAATCCAACAAATTTGTAGAATTATTAATAATGGGGTAAGGGTGAGATTATTAATCTAATGAATATTAATCCAATTGAATAGTGAATACCACACTAATTTAATAAGATTATTAATAGTTCACTATTAATTTTGTAAATCAAACATGACCAACACGTATTAAATAAAAAAAACTGGTTGAACTGAAAAACTGATCTGCAGCGTCTCCAAATTGTAAGGTTTGGCTCACCTTAAGAAAAGGATTTCATTCATTCTGACTCCAAATGGTAAAGTAATCTTATAATTCCTAATACGTATTAAAAAAAAACTGGTTGAACTGAAAATTTGATCTGCAACGTCTCCAAATTATAAGGTTCGGGATTTTTATTTTATTTTTTTAGACCGGATTGGTTCCGATTCCAAAAAGCAACAAAACCATTAAATACGGTTTGATTCTCAATTTTACACAACTTACACGGTTTAGTTTGATTTTCAAAATAATAAAACCGTTAGGTCTCTAAAATCAAGTCAATCAAATTAAGTTTTGTATCCTAATCAAATATGATCAACTAAGTAACAGGGTGTCCTGAACCAAAGGTCAGAAAGATGTTCAAGAACTGAGCACTTTTGGGCATTTAATCTGCAAGGGTTTCCTGTACATGTCCCAAATTGCAATCACTGCAATAGAGTTCATGGATTATAAGGTGCATGGGCAACTTACCCTCTGTTTCTTTGCCATTGAACTAGCTTGGTTCAAAAACAGCCCAAATCTTGGCCCTTAAACAAATGCAGGTGGGATCCAAGAACTAGAAATGGCAAATCTATCAGAAAACCTAGAGCAGCTTGTCTTCTTGCTGCTGTAGCTCACACATAAGCCTAAATCATACAGACCTACTTCTCTTTAAGTTCAAGCCATGCGGGGACCTGAGATTTTACTCAATAACTTCCCTAGTAACTCGAAAGTTCAGGCCACGTAAAATGCACCGATAAAAGTTTTCCCAGCAACCAACACTGGTAACTATGGTTGTCAAAAGAATGGAAGCTAACTACCAACAACGCCTTGGAAGAAAAATGAGAGAGAGAGAGAGAGAGAGAGAGGGAGAGATTATCAACGGAAATTATGGGGAAATAACTTGTCACTATGTAAAAATCATACATTGATGCTTAGTGAAAAACCAAATCACATGATTATCAAGCAAGAAAAATAGTTGGGGGTTTTTATAACAAATTCCCTTCAAGGCTATTACCAATTGAGTGTCATAATCAAGCATCCAGCTGAGATGCTGCTGAGAACAGCTAGTAGTGCCTTAAAAAAAATCAATTTTGTCAACAGTGGATCAATTCAACTGGACGACCTACCCACAGCATCCTCAACAGAACTTGTATACCTCCTCATTGTGATTCCAGACCAGATACATCTCCTCTTTACAATGCCCGAACTAGAGCTTGTGAATCTCTGCTGCAATAACATAAAAGTGCAGGCTAAACCAATTAGCTGATGGCAATGATCACAACCAAATTGCAGTTGTATTTGGATAGCTCATTTGCAACAAAGTATAACAAAGTCAGCCACACATCTTCACAATGATGTCAAAACAATGAAATAAACAAATGTACCCCAGCTGGTGATAGTTGCAATAAATCAGATAATGAAGCTATAAATAAATAAATCAGATAATGAATCCAATTGCCTATATAAGCTTGACATGCCGAACACATTCAATTTCTTCAGACCATTACAAAAAGGTTCATTCCATCCACTGGTTGATACCTTTGTGATATCAGGTCGTCAATACAGTACACTTTGCAAACATCTCCAATTTTCTATGGACAATATTCTTCACTAAAGTTGGATATCATGGGTGAGATTTAAGAGACAACATTTACAACACCTAATTCCTTCTACATCTCCTAAAATTACATTACTAAGGGCAATCCCAATGCATAAGTCATCTGTGGGCCTCAACCGTGGGGTGTGAGAGAGTCAGATGTACACAGTTTCACCCCTGCGTGCGGAAAGGATATTTCCATGATTTGAACCCATGACACCCAGGTCACAATAAAGCAACCTTACACTAATTTATTTTTACAAAATCCTCAGAATGTCTCCAGCTTCGGTACCAAACATGGACAGCCTGAAGTTCTAAATAGAAAGTGCAGACACATAACCCCACCTTACCACACGTGATGCCCCATTCAAGGATATGTGCACACACCTCTTTTATTTCTCTTTTATTTGATCCTTCCAAGTTAAGATGTCAATCCCTTAATGTAGATCGAGGCACTTAATGCCTTGACACCTGGCCTTGACATCTGCATGAGGGCATACACTCTTCATACTTTTGGCAGATTGAGTTGGTCTGCACAATTCAAGCTCATGCAGAGCTCTTTGAGCTTAGAACAGTCACAATGCAGCCTCCATACTAACACCATGACCCACTTGGTCACGCTACAAGCCCTTCATGGAATTATTAGGGTCACATGTGGCTCATTAATAAAAGTTGATGGTTCCCAAGACACATTCTGACCAGAGACAAAATGTTGTGCATTTATTCTCCCCTAAAGTACACCTTCACTAATCTAAGTTACTTGGCAATCTAATGGATTTTTATAATTTTTCAAGTAAGGAAGCCATAATGGAAAGTGAGTGAGTTGTGAAAATGTTCTCCTTCGCTCAGGCAAAGCCACCCAGAATCATATTTTTAAAAAGCTTGTAAGTTCAGGCCATTGCCTATGTGCGCCTAAGCAGATCACAAGCTAAGGCCAAACAAAGATAGAGACAGAATTCAGTGATTTCAGGTGAATTACACGGATTTTGGTCAAGGACAATTGGAGGCAATGTTATAAATAAGGGTTTCTAACTTGAGATTGGGTTGTTCAAGTTTTGAAAAGATGGCTCTCAAGCAAGGAGAAGACGTCTAAAGGTTTGAGCATGGCGGTTCTTTCCTCTGAGTGGTTAGGCTCTCCTCTTAGGGTGTAGACAAAACCTTAACCAAGAAACAATGATTTTTGATGGACCTTGCTGAACTTGATGAGGCGTTATACAAATCTAAAGAATATAATCAAGTTGGCAAAAACTAGATTTGCAACCGTCTTTCTCACTTTGTCCAAGATACCTAACAACTTGCAAAAGATTGTCACTTCAAAAAATTGTACCGCAAGCAAATGGGCAAAGAAGCCATGTGGTAAAAGAACAGCACAAACATGTTTTAGTTCGGTAACACGCACCTCATGGTAAGTAGGTGACTTTATACCAGGACCATATTGCCCAATGGTTTAAATCATTAGTCCAAAACTACTATCATAATTCACGGCATTAAAAGGGATACCTAGTGTGGTCAGTATCTTACGATTCAAAATGCCTAATAACCCATTTCATAACAGAATGATGCTTTGATAGAAAATAAAATAAAAAATAAACAATATGATGCAATAACATAATAAGTGCTCCCGTGAACATTCAAGAGCTATTACATTTGTTTTAAAGTTGATAAAGAAGAAAACAATGGTAATCACATATAAAAAAAATAATAATAATCAGTGTGTTTGGTTTTAGTTTTTTGAATTCAGTTTTCTCAAAACTAAATTTTTTGTTTTTCGTGTTTTTTTGTTTTTAGTGAATATTTTTTAAATTTTAAGTAATTTTTTTACTTTTTTAAATGCACTTTACTTAGATGTATCTAAATAGTAAAATATTTGTGAAAAAATATTTTAAAAAATTAATAAATACAAAAAATATGAAAAATATACTGAATTTTCGTATTTTTTTTGTATTTTTTGGTATTTAGAGTATTTTTTTAAAAAAAAAAAATTTACAAATATTATACTTTTTAAGTGTATTTATGTTAGGTGTGTCTAAAAATTTTTATTAAAAAAATTGCATAAAATATTTAAAAAAAAATCATTGAAAACATTAAAATACGGAAAATAAAAAAATAGGGGTGTGTTTGGTTTGTATTTGTAGAGTAATTTTTGAGATAAAAAAGTACAAAAACTTATTTGGTTTGCTTTTTTTTAAATATTCTCTCTCAAATAACTTTGGTTTTTTTGTAGAGTAGTTTTTGAGATAAAAAAGTACAAAAACTTGTTTGGTTTGCTTTTTTTTAAATATTCTCTCTCAAATAACTTTGGTTTTTTTTGTAGAGTAGTTTTTGAGATAAAAAGTACAAAAACTTGTTTGGTTTGTCTTTTTCCAAATATTCTTTCTAAAATAACTTTGATTTTTTTTGTAGAGTAGTTTTGAGATAAAAAAATACAAAAACTTGTTTGATTTGCCTTTTTGTAGAGTAATTTTCGAGATAAAAAGTACAAAAACTTGTTTTGTTTGCCTTTTTTGCAAACATGTTTTAAAAGTAATTCTGAAAATTAGATAACCAAACATATTTCAGAGAGTTTTTTTGAGAAAATCTGTTTGGTTTGATTACTCTTAAAAAAGTGTTTGTAGAGTATATTTTCAAAAAAATTCTCCCAAAATCAAACCAAACAAGGCCAGAATTTTCTGAAAACTATAACCAAACAAGCTCAATAATTTAAAAAAAGTAATAAATGCATTCCCAACATATCATATCTTAGTTTTTTTGAGAAATGATGTATCAACATATCAATGTTATGACATATTTTTGTCTCATGTCTCTATCCGTGCTTCTTAGGTGGGAATAGGAGAAGTTTAACGCCCTAAAATTATGCATATAATCTTTTTATCCGTTGGAGTAGAGTTTTGAAGAATTCATTCAAAATTTTGAAGCTTTTTGTGATGCTTTGTGCAACCTTACCTTAATTCGTAGGGAAGTCAAGGTGGATTCTTAGAATCTTCTTGTCTTTCACAATGTCACTATTCTCAGGTTACAATTCAAAACCCTAGAAAAGTGCCCTTTACATCCCTAAACTCCATCAATCACATCTAAATCAACCCTAATCCTTTGCCTACCTAAATCGACTTGCCACTTTTAAATTGGACTATTTAAGCCTTTCTACTTCTAAAATAGTCATCTTATATCTTATAAAAACCCTTACTGAAGCTTTTTGTAACCAAAACCCATCAACAACAATAGATAAACTTAGGCCCTAAGTTTCCTAATATGTCCTACATCACTAACTAAACACCATATATAAACAGAAATATCATAATGGTTTTAATAGTGGGACTAATTATTCTACAAAATAGCTCATTCCCCCAGTCCATCATATTGCACATACTAAAACACAAAATGGGCGGAGCAAAATAATCAAAGATGAAAAGTTAACAAATCAAACAACCCTAAAAACAGATTTATGCATGTAATAGGCTCAATTTTATCAAACATAGAAGCATATTGATATTCCTCCTTGACATCCAAATGACAAAAAATACAAACGAAATAAACAATGAAAGGAAAGCAGTGAACATACATGAATATCAAGCATCAGCACCCTCCCTTCCAGCAAAAGGATCATGAGAAGGGCCAGCATCCTGTCCGATGTGGCGTTGCACCAGCCGCTGCAGATCAGCCATAACCTTCTGTTCCCGCTTCGCCTTCTCCTCATAGTTAAACATTGCCAAAGCCCTCTTATCTTCCGCACTATAAACCTGGTTTTCTTTCCTGATACGAATAGCATTCATCCTTTGATGCCTACTACCACTCATCACATACCCAAGGCTCTCAAATTTCTGAATCTCCTCCGCTGAAAGACCGACTTCACCTCTCCGTGGGATACGCTTTCCTTGTTGAACATACTGAGCAATGGCATCACCTTCACCAGGCCGGAGTGCCCCTCCATAGCTAATATGTCCTTCAGCCCTAGGCAATGGCATTGGTCCAACCACTGGCTCATTCTCTAAAGCAGATTTCTTTCTCGATTCAATCATCTCTTTGAACATAAGCAATTCACTATCGTCCTCAATAGTCATCGCGTCATCTACCTTAGATATATTTTTTGCATCAACTTCAGAATCAGAATTCTCATCTGAATCCAAACTCCCAGCATCTGATTCTCTCTTTTTCTTGCTCCTCTTAGATTGCAAGGAAGGAGCGTCTCAGCTTCTTTGATTTCACTTGATCATCCGAAGATTCCTCATTTTCACTAGCTTCGCTCTCACTTTCGTCAGAATCGATATCCCTACTCTTCCTTGTACTACTCCGCTTCCCCTTACTAATCCTCCTACGGCTCTTTCTTGGCCTGCTTTGTCTACTCCTCGACTTCTTTCTCCGTCTCCTATCTTCTTCTTCTTCTTCATCTTCTTCCGAATCATCATCACTCAACTCATCCGATTCACTATCACCGGCTGATTCCGATTTCCTACTTCTACGCCTAGAACTCCTGCTCTTCCTCTTCCTCCTCGATCGCGAATCATCCGAATCAGATGCTGATTCTGATTCCGATTCCGATTCCGAATTGGGATCTGATTTCGCCCCTCTATCTTTCACTTTGTCACTTGAATCGCTGCTGTTTCCTTTCTCCTCTTCGTACTTGTCTGTAATTTCCTCCGGTTCTTGTTCGTATGGATCGTTCTCGTGTCTAGGAGGGCTAGGCGTGAGATCCCAAACATAACTCTTCAACGTAAACATCTTCCTAAGTTTCTGGCGCTTGAGCCTCCGGTAATCTTCAAAGCTCAAACCTCTCAGTTCTTCGTCCGACTCCGCTTCAGCTTCAGGAACCCTTTCGTTCCTGTAATCGCGATCAAGGTATGGTGGTGCGTCGCGATTCTTTCGATCTCCATAGCCGAATTTTCTCTCTGATTTTAGGGTTTCGGACCTAGGGCTTCTTCTAGGGTTTGAGTAATCGGGCGAATACGATCGACGGCTACGATTATGAGTGGAATTGTGTTCGTACCTTGCGTAGACGTTTGTTGGGCTGAAACTGCGGCTGCGGCTGCGACTGCGGCTCCGGCTAAAACTGCGGCGGCGGCGACGGTGGAGGTCGGCTGAGGCGTCAGATTGCCGTGAATAGCGGCCGTTATCGCGGGGGCTGCGACGCCGATCGTCGGGGATTTCAGATTGCCGTGAATAGCGGCCGTTATTGTGGGGGCTGCGACGCCGATCGTCGGGGATTTCAACGGCGGAGGAGAGTTTGCCCATCGGAAATCCCAAGTACGTAGAAAAAAGGGTTGGCTGCTGGGTGTATATGGGAGTTGGGTTTCACTCCGATTCTAATTTCAATCGATCGACGCCAAAAATCTGTACACTATACGCTTCGTTTGGAAAATATTTTTTATTTTTTTTCAAATGTATAAAAAAATTAAAATATGATATGATTTATTAGCAAACTAGTGTATAGTGGTGCCTTCAATAATTTTAGAATTAAAATATAATTGTAATAAAGGCACAGATTTTTTTTTGATAAAAATATTAAAAAAATATAAAGTAATATTATTCTTGTTAAAAACTTGTAACAATTTTACTTGTACCACATGCTGCACAGAACTTAAATAAAATAATAACTCTCCCTAACCTTAATGTAAATTAAGAAACAAATATATGAGTTTTATATTAAAAAAACATAAATTTTATAAAGTTTACCAATATTGCAAATCAAAATATAAGAGTAAGTAAAAATATATATATAAACACTAAACAAAGTACAAAAATCAAAACTATTGTATACTCGTTAACATTCTATAATAAAAAGAAAAAAATTACTACTAAACACTACATAAAGCACACCATCAAATGCTCAGTAATCTCAACAAATTAAATTAAAAATTAAATATCAAACAATGCATACCAACCTGTACTTTGCAATTCCAAACAAATCAAATATAAAAAAAAAAAATTAAATATCAAAAAATGCACTCCAACCAGTGATATGCAATAAAAAAAATTAAAATTAAAATACACACTAGCTAGTACTACTGTTGCCAATCAAATTATAACCATATCGGCAAAACAAACATTATATTGTCATACACCTAAGCCGATAATATATGTATCCTTTACAAAAGAGTAGGAAAAAGCTTTACAAAAGATGTTTTTGTTTCATAAAAAGTTAATGTATGCTTTACAAAAGATGTGTCAATAAAATGTCATCAAACATGTGTTTACCTAAACTTCGTCCTCATTACTTTCCAAAAATCTTTGTATCAACTTATATGTATCCCCAATGAGGAACATACATAACAAGTTAATAATTTGTGGAAGCAAAAAAATATAGATTAGTACATTTATTGAAAAAATATATATCAAAATACTTTGAGATTACCTGTACTCTGCAATTCCAAACAAATCAAATATAAAAAAAAATAAAAAAAATTAAATACCAAACAATGCACACCAACCAGTACTCTGCAATAAAAAAAATTAAAATTAAAATGCACACCAGCTAGTTCTACTGTTGCCAATCAAATTATAACTATATAAGCAAAACAAACATTATATTTTCATACACCTAAGCTGATAATATATGTATCCTTTACAAAAGAGTGGAAAAAAGCTTTACAAAAGATGTTTTTGTTTCATAAAAAGTGAATGTATGCTTTACAAAAGATGTGTCAATAAAATGTTCTCAAACACGTGTTTACCTAAACTTCCTCCTTATTACTTTTCAAAAATCTTTATATCAACTTGTATGTATCCCCAATGAGGAACATACACAACAAGCTAATAATTTGTGGAAGCAAAAAAATATAGATTAGTACATTTATTGAAAAAATATATATCAAAATACTTTGAGATTTAAATTACCTTATTACATTAATTGGGTTCACCATTACCTATATAATTTCAACAATATTTTGTGTATAATTTCAACAAATTTTTTTCAGTCACTCATACAGTTTGTGAACTCTAAACTTGAAAGGCATATATAGTATACATCCAAACCTAAGTCGAGTAAATCTATTCTTTGATCCAACTTACCCAAAAAAGTTGTCAACAAAAATCATCGCATTCATATAATGGTTGAATATGGCTAAACCAAAGAGTTATTGCAAAAATGATTAATGTAAAAAGTCATCAATTACATTAACTAAAACAATTTTAAAAATGAAATTGTTATCCTAAAAATTGGCCAAAGATAAAAAGATTTGAAAGTCGTTCAATAGTCATTATAGTATCGATACCTGAAATTAAAAAAACAAAAAAATAATTGAAAAATAATAATAAAGTTAGATTAGATGGATTAAAGAAAAAAATCTAATTAAGAGAAAAAATGCCTAATGTTCAGTATTTTCAAATCAACATTACATAGTATGTGTAACAACTTGAAAATTTAAGTTGTCCTTTAAATTTTATATTATTATTCGAAATTATTTTCTGAGTATTATGGTATTTTTATTATATTTTTTTCTAGACCAAAATATACTGAAATACAATATTTTCTGTACAACAAATGATATGTGTCCCCAAGACTGCTTGCCACTCACGACTCCTTTACTATATAAATAGCTATCTATCAGCAGCAGCAGTAGCATTGTCACCAAACTCTCTTATTCTCTCTCTTTCTGGCGTCCAAGTTTTATACATAAAACTTTGAGTTTAGTTTGGAGTATCTAATGGGTCGCAATAAATGAAAAGTAAAAGTTAAAATTAAAGTTAATATGAGTTATATTATACCTTGAGTCACCATAATATATTTTATATATGTTTTGAGTTACTATAATTTATTTTACGCAATCATATTTTATAAAATTATATTAATGTTTCAATTACGTGGATTATTTTTTATACTTTATTTGTTTAAAATGAAACTCATGGATATATTTGTTTAACTTATAATAATTATTTGACTATGATTATATAAATATTTATTTTTGATAAGCACCACCACAGGAGTCTCATGTCTTGGAGGACTTAAATAACCATTAGCCCTTTGATTAGTCACTTTGTGACCCTCTGTCTGTCATGGATCCACTGACACTCTGATTTTTGGTATGGAGCAAAGTGTTGTGTGGAGCTAAGTGCTATACTATTGTGGGAGTCACCTCCAGAGTTCGTACGAGCAACCTCTTGAGTCCATACATCTATTCTGTTCTATACCGCGGTTATGATTTCTGGTGTGGAGCAAAGTGTTATACGAAGCTAAGTGCTACACTATGGTGGGAGCCACCTCTAAAGTTCGTACGAGCCACCTCTTGAGTCCATACATTTGTTCCGTTTCGTTTTGTACCGTGATTATAATTATTTTGTTTATATGATTTCTGTATCATATGTCAAATGATTTCTGTATTTTAATATCAAACTTTGTTTAGCCAATAACTGTCCATGGTGAATTTTTTGCCCTTATGCTCTTAGTATAATATTTATTACTATGCTATGTGCTTATAGCTGTTTACCAATTTTCAAAAAACAATGCAATTCAGAAATAGCTTTGGAAAAGTCTTAGACGGGGGCTGCAGAATAGATACACATAGCACTTTTATAGTATCTTTATATGTAAATATCGGCCTTTTTGGTCAATCAATTTTGTTATAAAAATAAAAACTCCGATGATTATTTTGGTACCCTCACTTAAATATTTTTTCGCTCGCATTTAGTAATTTGTTTAAAAAGTGGCCAGAGGTAACTTCAGTTACTGGCTATCACGATACTTAACCCTTGGGTTCGGGGAACGAGTCGTAACAAGTGGCATTAGAGCCTAAGTTTTTAAAATTTTTATAAAAATATCGGAGCATAAGACACATGCATAAATAGGATAGGGAAAACGTTGAACTAGATTACAAGTTATATTCAAATTAAATATTTGTGTAGCAATATTCGTAATATATATAAATATAGTATTTCATTAAATTTTATAATTAAAAATGAGTTATTTGTCACTACATATATGATTGTATATATTTTTCTCTACAAAAGAAAAAAAAAAAAAAAAAAAAACTTTTAGAAGTGGTTTCAAATCTATAATTTTTCAAATTTAAAAAAAAAAAAAAAAAAAAAAAAAAAAAATAAAAAATTTGATTCCTTTTTTTTTTCTTCATTTTTATGATTTTCAATTCCTTCAACTCCTATATATGATTTTGTCATTTCATTTCCAGTCGCTTGTTTAATTGTGTTCTCATTTTTTTTTTTTCATTTTCAGAAACAAAACCAATGAAAAGTTTTTAAAATCACCTATTGTTTCTCATTTTGGCCGTAAAACAGTCTTTGATGAATAAATAGTGAGTTGTTTTTAGTAGTAGTATAATAGTAGTAAAGTTATATTTTATGTTGTAATAAAAATTTAAAATATTGACCCTTAAAGAAAATCACGCTCTTGTAGATGACTCTGGAAATTTGATTCGAATCACGTAGGTTCAATTTACAATTCTTGATAATTTTTTTGAGGTAATGATTTAGCAATATTTTATATCAGATTAATCATAAAATATATATTTATCAGAGTGCGCAGCGAATAGCTTATACATATGACAAATTTCGAGGATGAAATTTTTAAAAGGAGAGAAGATTGTAACAACCTGAAAATTTAAGTTATCCTTTAAATTTTATATTATTATTCGAAATTATTTTCTGAGTATTATGATATTTTTATTATATTTTTCTCTATATTTTTTCTAGACCAAAATATACTAAAATATAATATTTTCTGTATAACAAACGATACGTGCTCCCAAGACTGCTTGCCGCCCACGCCTCCTTTACTATATAAATAGCTATCTATCAGCAGCAGCATCATCACCAAACTCTCTTATTGTCTCTCTCTGGCGTCCAAGTTATATATATAAAACTTTGAGTTTAGTTTGGAGTATCTAATGGGTTGCAGTGAGCAAAAAGTAAAAGTTGAAATTAAAGTTAAGGTGAGTTATATTATACCTTGAGTCACCATAATATATTTTATATATGTTTTGAGCTATCATAATTTATTTTACGCAATCATATTTTATAAATTATATTAATGTTTCAATTACGTGGATTATTTTCTGAACTCTATTTGTTTAAAATGAAACCCATGGATATGTTTGTTTAACTTTTAATAATTATTTGACTATGATTATATAAATATTTATTTTTGATAAGTACCACCACGGGAGTCCCATGCCTTAAGGGACTTAAATAACCATTAACCCTTTGATTAGTCACTTTGTGACCTTCTGTCTGTCATGGATCCATTGACACTCTGATTTCTGATATGGAGCAAAGTGCTATACGGAGCTAAGTGCTACACTATTGTAGGAGCCACCTCTAGAGTTCGTACAAGCCACCTCTTGAGTTCATACACCTATTCTGTCCTGTACCGCAGTTGTTAGGTTTTTATTCTTGGTAACCC